TCATCCATCCGCCTTTGTAACATTAAAATAGAATAGAATTGCTTCAGATGATGAACACAAGGTTAAAATAAATATATGTAACTTTTGTTGTGCAGGCTGAACACAAAGGAGCGTCACCAACAGAAATTGGAATAGTTTTTACGGTCTATCAGTTCGTCAACTTCATAGCCTGCCCAGCTTTTGGTAACTTTGTAAGAAAATATAGTTTTTATACTTGTATGGTTGAATGCTAGTTTGGGTACGGGAAATACTTTATTAGTAATGTAGCTAAAACAATTGAATTAGAATGATGTATTTTTAAAGAGAGTATTGTAGCTGTGGTAGTAGTGTCTAATAGATAATGAATATCTTACAGATATCTGTGATTGGGGCCAAATTTCTCTTCGCATCTGGTATTCTTGTTACAGGAACATGTGCCACACTCTTTGGGTAAGTGGATTTGTTACATGAATATGTGCCATACTCTTTGGGTAAGTGGATTTGTTACATGGATATGTGCCGTACTTTTTGGGTAAGTGGATTTATTACATGAATATGTGCCGTACTTTTTGGGTAAGTGGATTTGTTACATGAATATGTGCCGTACAGTTTGGGTAAGTGGATTTGTTACATGAATATGTGCCGTACTTTTTGGGTAGGTGGATTTGTTACATGAATATGTGCCGTACTTTTTGGGTAGGTGGATTTGTTACAGAATATGTGCCGTACGTTTTGGGTAACTGGATTTGTTACTTGAATACGTGCCGTACTTTTTGGGTCAGTGGATTTGTTACAAGAATATGTGCCGTACTTTTTGGGTAAGTGGATTTGTTCCAGGAATATTTTTATGACATTTTGCTACATGCGACATTTTGCCAAGTTTTCCATTATGCAGGTAGAATACACCGTATTACATTACAGGCAGTCATATTAGTAAACATATACTCAACTAGATTTGAGTTTGTTGTGTTTAGAATAACTCGCTTTAAAAAGAATATTTAAGTCAAGCAATTGCAGCTAATTAAGGACATGTAATAATAGCCAAATAAGGGCATGCCATTGAACTTAACAAGGGCAATCAATTACATCTAATTAAGGGCAGACATTTACAGCTAATTAAAGGCAGACAATTACAGTTAATTAAAGGCAGACAATAGCAGTTTATTAAGGACAGACAATTACAGCTAATTAAGTGCAGACATTGGTTTTAGACAAAACTCTGCTTCAGCTCTAGTCTACATTAAAAAAAGTGTGTCCCTCACTAGACAAATAAAAATTTATTTACCTAACTTTGCTCTAACACAACCCTAGCTCAAGAGTCTAAAGATCTGACATCCTTGTTCATAAATATTGACAGTTCAATTGGTTTGATGATTGCTTTTGCCTAATTAGATTTGATAGTTGTCTTCTGCTTCAGTGCTGTATTGAAAATTAATGTATACGAGTTAAAAAAGGCATTAATGCACCCCCCCCCCAAATAAAAAAAATAAAATAAAAAAAACAACCACAACAAAAACTAAACTAACAAGTTGTCAAATTTTATATTTTTATAATGACCATGTCCATCACCACCACTAACAGCTGAGATATTTTGTTGCCAGATTTCTAGGCGGGTGCCCACCAGGCACGATATTTGTGGTCATGTCAGTCGTGGTTCGAGCTGTCCAGGCTCTGGGTGTCTCGGCCTACTCCACAGCCAGCTTCGCCATGGTGTCTAACGAGTTCCCCAACCACATTAGCTCCGTGTTTGTAAGTTGTTTTACCACATTAGCTCCGTGTTTGTAAGTTGTTTCATGACATTAGCTCCGTGTTTGTAAGTTGTTTCACCACATTAGCTCAGTGTTTGTAAGTTGTTTCACCACATTAGCTCCGTGTTTGTAAGTTGTTTTATCACATTAGCTCCGTGTTTGTAAGTTGTTTCATCACATTAGCTCCGTGTTTGTAAGTGGTTTCACCACATTAGCTCAGTGTTTGTAAGTTGTTTCACAACATTAGCTCCGTGTTTATTTTATCACATTAGCTCCGTGTTTGTAAGTTGTTTCACCACATTAGCTCAGTGTTTGTAAGTTGTTTCACAACATTAGCTCCGTGTTTATTTTATCACATTAGCTCCGTGTTTGTAAGTTGTTTCACCACATTAGCTCAGTGTTTGTAAGTTGTTTCACCACATTAGCTCAGTGTTTGTAAGTTGTTTCATGACATTAGCTCCGTGTTTGTAAGTTGTTTCATGACATTAGCTCAGTGTTTGTAAGTTGTTTCACCACATTAGATAAAGCTCATACTTGATAAACCGAAAAGATATAAAAAATGAATACTTACATTATAAAAACCAAACACATGTACATATTACATTGAAACAATTATTTGTGTCAATAGGCCTTACTTGAGACTTGTGTAGGTGTGGGACTAATGACGGGACCTACTATAGGGGGCGCTTTATTTGAGGTGAGATTTGTTTTTTAACATATGTAAAACTTGTTTCTTTTTAAACGCTTTGTTATCAGCTGTATAAATAATCAAACACATTTGATTGTCAGAAAAAATGTGTTTCTTAGTTTGATGGATTTGGTTTTTAAAAAAAAAAATAAGTATAAACATATGTGATTCCATATCTATGTATCTTAGTTTGATGGATTTGACTTGCCTTTAGAAATAAGTATGTGTGATCTTAAATCTATGTATCTTAGTTTGGCTTGCCATTACAAATGTGTATGTGTGATCCCATATCTATGTATCTTAATTTGACTTGCCATTAGAAATATGTATGCGTGATCCCATATCTATGCTGTTTAATGGACCGACTTGCCATTAGAAATATGTATGTGTGATCCCATATGTATGTATCTTAGTTTAGAAATATGTATATGTGATCCCATATGTATGTATTTCAGGCTGGCGGGTTTGGGTTGCCGTTCTGGGCAGTGGGTTGTGTAATGTACTTAAGTGGAGCGATGGTCATAACCTGTCTACCACCCCCTGAAGGTCAGTGGTGTGTGGGGTGTGGGGTGTGTGTGGGGTGTGTGTAGGTTGTGTAATGTACTTAAGTGGAGCCATGGTCATTACCTGTCTACCACCCCCTGAAGGTGAGTGGTGTGTGTGTGTGGGGGGGTGTGGGGTGTGTGTGTGGGGGTGTAGGTTGTGTAATGTACTTAAGTGGAGCCATGGTCATTACCTGTCTACCACCCCCTGAAGGTCAGTGGTGTGTGGGGTGTGGGGTGTGTGTGGGGTGTGTGTAGGTTGTGTAATGTACTTAAGTGGAGCCATGGTCATTACCTGTCTACCACCCCCTGAAGGTGAGTGGGGTGTGGGGTGTGTGTGGGGTGTGTGTGGGGGTGTAGGTTGTGTAATGTACTTAAGTGGAGCCATGGTCATTACCTGTCTACCACCCCCTGAAGGTGAGTGGGGTGTGGGGTGTGTGTGGGGTGTGTGTGGGGTGTGTGTAGCTTGTGTGATGTACTTGAGTGGAGCCATGGTCATTACCTGTCTACCACCCCCTGAAGGTGAGTGGTGTGTGTGTGGGGGGTGTGGGGTGTGTGTATGTGTGGGGTGTGTGTATGTGGGGGGTGTGGGGTGTGTGTGTGGGGGTGTAGGTTGTGTAATGTACTTAAGTGGAGCCATGGTCATTACCTGTCTACCACCCCCTGAAGGTGAGTGGGGTGTGGGGTGTGTGTGGGGTGTGTGTGGGGTGTGTGTAGGTTGTGTGATGTACTTGAGTGGAGCCATGGTCATTACCTGTCTACCACCCCCTGAAGGTGAGTGGGGTGTGGGGTGTGTATGTCTAATCTCTGAGAGTGTAATGTGTGTGTGTGTGTTCAGCCCATGAAGGATAGGTGGTATAGGTTATGTGTAGGGAAGGGTGTGATGTGTGTATGTGGCCACCTCATCAAATATGAACAAGGGACTTGAGCATCAAACATTTTGTTGCTGTTATCTCACCTGGTTTCCCCTGGAAATAAATAGAACATCACACGTAGAATCTAGATGTAAATATTACTGGAAAGCATCAGAGCCCGCTAAAACAAATTTACGTAAAAATAAGTTTCTGTTATTCTCATAACACTAACGAAGTAGGAAAAAAAACCAAAAAAAAAAAAAAAAAAAAAAAAAACAAAAAACCCCTGTAAAATATCGATTAAAAAAAATATTTCATCATTCTACATAACGATTACTTCTCTGGAAGCTGGGAACAGTTCACATTTTAGCGGCATCAATTCTTCTAAACATTATTTGGTGGATTTCTATGCTCAATAATTTGAATTAAAAACTATTTATACTAAGCATTTTCATTATTCTGTGGCGGCGTGGTCGTATGGATAGTTACCAAACGTTCAAAAAGCTAAACCGGAAGTCTCAAGTTCGGATTCCAGACTTTCGTCTTTTGGAAATCTCTGAGTCCATCCAGCTTTAATCAGTACCTGAATCACTTTAAGGAAAGTACAGGCGGCTGGACAAAGTGCTGACCATACATATGCCGAGGTCCCATAAACAGGTGAACTCTACTTCATCTGCCGCGTGCACTGCCATATCCGGAAAAGGTGAGTTGTGTTTGTTATTTTATGAAATATATTTTTATTTGTTTATTCATTCCTTAGAAAAACCCCAGAAAAGGAAAGGCTCCATTTTTTATCTGTTGAGGAGCGCCATCGTGTGGGTGACGATGTTGTCTTTGCTGGGTGGGAGTGTTGCCATATCGTTCCTTGATGCCACGCTGTCCAGTCATCTTGACCAGGTAGGTGCTGGATAGGTGCTAGACCAGGTAGGTGCTAGGTAGGTGCTAGACCAGGTAGGTGCTAGGTAGGTGCTAGACCAGGTAGGTGCTAGACCAGGTAGGTGCTAGACCAGGTAGGTGCTAGACCAGGTAGGTGCTAGACCAGGTAGGTGCTAGACCAGGTAGGTGCTAGACCAGGTAGGTGCTAGACCAGGGTATTTGATGGTATCTTTAACACATAAATGACCTGGTATATTTAACAAGCTTTGTGACCCGGTACATTTTAATACAAAATGACTTTCTAATTTAACATATGAATGACTTGGTAATTTAACACATACATGACTTGGTAATTTAACACATAATTGACTTGATACTGTAGCAAATAAGTGATTTGGTTAGTTAACAAATAATTTACTTTGTAATTTAACAACTAAATAGCTTGGTAATTTGACAAAATAAATGACTTTTTATGCCAACATTTAAACGACTCGGTAATTTATCAAATAAATGACTTGGTAATTTAACAAATAAAAGACTTAGTAATTCAACAAATAAATGACTTGGTAATTTAACATATACAATATTTTGTAATTTAACAAATATATTATTTAGTAATTTAACAAATATATTATTTAGTAATTTAACAAATAAATAGCATGGTAATTTAACAAAACAATTGAATTGGTAAGAGTTTGTGATTTAACAACTAAATGACTAGTTAGTTCAACAGAAAAAATGACTTGGTTATTTAACAACTAAATGACTAGTTAGTTCAACAGAAAAAATGACTTGGTTATTTAACAACTAAATGAATGTTTATTTAACAACTAAATGACTTGGTTATTTAACAAACAAAATGACTTGGTTATTTAACAACTAAATGACCTGGTTCTCTATTAAATTGATTCCAGTTTGGGATCTCCACCTTGCTGGTTGGCCTCTTCTTTGTTATCGTCCCAACTTTATACGCCCTTGCTACACCTGTGTTGGGCTTCCTCAGCGACACAAAGGTGAGTACAGCCACTAGCATTGGTCAAAACCTCAGCGACACAAAGGTGATTACAGCCACACGCATTGGTCAAAACCTCAGCGACACAAAGGTGAGTACAGCCACTAGTATTGGTCAAAACCTCAGCGACACAAAGGTGAGTACAGCCACTAGCATTGGTCAAAACCTCAGCGACACAAAGGTGAGTACAGCCACTAGCATTGGTCAAAACCTCAGCGACACAAAGGGGATTACAGCCACACGCATTGGTCAAAACCTCAGCGACACAAAGGGGATTACAGCCACACGCATTGGTCAAAACCTCAGCGACACAAAGGTGAGTACAGCCACTAGCATTGGTCAAAACCTCAGCGACACAAAGGTGAGTACAGCCACACGCATTGGTCAAAACCTCAGCGACACAAAGGTGAGTACAGCCACTAGCATTGGTTAAAACCTCAGCGACACAAAGGTGAGTACAGCCACACGCATTGTTCATAACCTCAGCGACACAAAGGTGAGTACAGCCACACGCATTGGTCAAAACCTCAGTTACACAAAGGTGAGTACAGCCACTTTTATTGGTCAAAACCTCAGCGACACAAAGGTGAGTACAGCCACTTTTATTGGTCAAAACCTCAGCGACACAAAGGTGAGTACAGCCACTAGCATTGGTCAAAACCTCAGCGACACAAAGGTGAGTACAGCCACTAGCATTGGTTAAAACCTCAGCGACACAAAGGTGAGTACAGCCACACGCATTGTTCATAACCTCAGCGACACAAAGGTGAGTACAGCCACACGCATTGGTCAAAACCTCAGCGACACAAAGGTTAGTACAGCCACTTTTATTGGTCAAAACCTCAGCGACACAAAGGTGAGTACAGCCACTAGCATTGGTCAAAACCTCAGCGACACAAAGGTGAGTACAGCCACTAGCATTGGTCAAAACCTCATCGACACAAAGGTGAGTAAAGCCACTAGCATTGGTCAAAACCTCAGCGACACAAAGGTGAGTACAGCCACTAGCATTGGTCAAAACCTCATCGACACAAAGGTGAGTAAAGCCACTAGCATTGGTCAAAACCTCAGCGACACAAAGGTGAGTACAGCCACTAGCATTGGTCAAAACCTCAGCGACACAAAGGTGAGTACAGCCACACGCATTGGTCAAAACCTCAGCGACACAAAGGTGAGTACAGCCACTAGCATTGGTCAAAACCTCAGCGACACAAAGGTGAGTACAGCCACTAGCATTGGTCAAAACCTCAGCGACACAAAGGTGAGTACAGCCACACGCATAGGTCAAAACCTCAGCGACACAAAGGTGAGTACAGCCACTAGCATTGGTCAAAACCTCAGCGACACAAAGGTGAGTACAGCCACTAGCATTGGTCAAAACCTCAGCGACACAAAGGTGAGTACAGCCACTAGCATTGGCCAAACCTCAGCGACACAAAGGTGAGTACAGCATTGGTCAAAACCTCAGCGACACAAAGGTGAGTACAGCCACACGCATTGGTCAAAACCTCAGCGACACGAAGGTGAGTACAGCCACTAGCATTGGTCAAAACCTCAGCGACACAAAGGTGAGTACAGCCACACGCACTGGTCAAAACCTCAGCGACACAAAGGTGAGTACAGCCACTAGCATTGGTCAAAACCTCAACGACACAAAGGTGAGTATAGCCATTAGCATTGGTCAAAACCTCAGCGACACAAAGGTGAGTACAGCCACACGCATTGGTCAAAACCTCAGCGACACGAAGGTGAGTACAGCCACTAGCATTGGTCAAAACCTCAGCGACACAAAGGTGAGTACATTCTAATGCATTGGTCAAAACCTCAACGACACAAAGGTGAGTACAGCCACTAGCATTGGTCAAAACCTCAACGACACAAAGGTGAGTACAGCCACTAGCATTGGCCAAACCTTAGCGACACAAAGGTGAGTACAGCCACTAGCATTGGCCAAACCTCAGCGACACAAAGGTGAGTACAGCCACTAGCATTGGTCAAAACCTCAACGACACAAAGGTGAGTACAGCCACACGCATTGGTCAAAACCTCAGCGACACAAAGGTGAGTACATTCTAATGCATTGGTCAAAACCTCAACGACACAAAGGTGAGTACAGCCACTAGCATTGGTCAAAACCTCAACGACACAAAGGTGAGTACAGCCACTAGCATTGGCCAAACCTCAACGACACAAAGGTGAGTACAGCCACTAGCATTGGCCAAACCTCAGCGACACAAAGGTGAGTACAGCCACTAGCATTGGTCAAAACCTCAACGACACAAAGGTGAGTACAGCCACACGCATTGGTCAAAACCTCAGCGACACAAAGGTGAGTACATTCTAATGCATTGGTCAAAACCTCAACGACACAAAGGTGAGTACAGCCACTAGCATTGGTCAAAACCTCAACGACACAAAGGTGAGTACAGCCACTAGCATTGGCCAAACCTCAGCGACACAAAGGTGAGTACATTCTAATGCATTGGTCAAAACCTCAACGACACAAAGGTGAGTACAGCCACTAGCATTGGTCAAAACCTCAACGACACAAAGGTGAGTACAGCCATTAGCATTGGCCAAACCTCAGCGACACAAAGGTGAGTACAGCCACTAGCATTGGTCAAAACCTCAACGACACAAAGGTGAGTACAGCCACTAGCATTGGTCAAAACCTCAACGACACAAAGGTGAGTACAGCCATTAGCATTGGCCAAACCTCAGCGACACAAAGGTGAGTAGAGCCACTAGCATTGGTCAAAACCTCAACGACACAAAGGTGAGTACAGCCACTAGCATTGGCCAAACCTCAGCGACACAAAGGTGAGTACAGCCACTAGCATTGGTCAAAACCTCAACGACACAAAGGTGAGTACAGCCACTAGCATTGGCCAAACCTCAGCGACACAAAGGTGAGTACAGCCACTAGCATTGGTCAAAACCTCAGCGACACAAAGGTGAGTACAGCCATTAGCATTGGCCAAACCTCAGCGACACAAAGGTGAGTACAGCCACTAGCATTGGTCAAAACCTCAACGACACAAAGGTGAGTACAGCCATTAGCATTGGCCAAACCTCAGCGACACAAAGGTGAGTACAGCCACTAGCATTGGTCAAAACCTCAACGACACAAAGGTGAGTACAGCCACTAGCATTGGTCAAAACCTCAGCGACACAAAGGTGAGTACAGCCACACGCACTGGTCAAAACCTCATCGACACAAAGGTGAGTACAGCCACTAGCATTGGTCAAAACCTCAGCGACACAAAGGTGAGTACAGCCACTAGCATTGGTCAAAACCTCAGCGACACAAAGGTGAGTACAGCCACTAGCATTGGTCAACATATACATATGCACACCTCCAAAATGGAAATCTGACGTTAATTTTAAGGCTGAACCGCGAACAGCGCGGGAAATTTAATTTAAAAGAAACGATTAATAATATAGTTATAGAACTACGGCTTCTTAAATTTACTAAAAGAATATGCAAATACTCGATTATTATTGTTGTTATTACTAAATCGTACATTGTGTCACAAGGTACACCATAGAACAGGGACAATATTTGTGTCAATACAGAAATTAGGTAACCATAGAACTGACGTTCTGTTTTCAGTTAGGTACACGATACACTAGGGAAAATATTTGCGTCAGTAGTTAGGTTATGTACATTATAGATTAGGGACAATATCTGTGTCAATAGTTCACTTAGGTACATTATACATCAGGGACAATATTTGTGTCAGTAGTGAAATTAAGTATATCATTCAGTAGGGACAATATTTGTGTCAGTAGTTCGGTTAGGTACATTATATTCATTATGGACAAAAATTGTGTCAATAGTTCAGTTAGGTACATTATACATTATGGACAATATTTGTATTAGTAATTCAGTTAGGTACATAATAATTCAGGGATAATATTTATGTTAGTAGTTCACTTAGGTACATTATACATCAGGGACAACAGCTGTGTCACTAAAGTAATTAGGTACACCATACATTTTCCAGTAACAATATCTATGTCAGTAGTTCAATTAGGTGCACGATACATCAGGCACAATATGAGTGTCAGTTGTGATATTAGGTACAATACAGGACAGAGACAATATGTGTGTTAGTAATTCAGTTAAGTACACATACGTCAGGAACAATATTTGTATCAATAGTGAAATTAGATACACCATACATATGTATGTCAGTAGTTCAGTGAGGTACATAACCAGACCATCTAAATTACAGTCGTCATTTCACGGCAAAAATTATATTTCTTGAAGAGGGTGACGAATTGTAAATGCATAAGCGCACGCATAGAAACGAAGCACAACTAACGTTCAAATAGAACTGTAATGTATGGCTCTGTTATGTAGGTTAAAGTTTGGGTAAAGTTTGGTTGGACAAATGAAAAAGATAATTTATTACCCGAAGGCTGATCTTTTTGAATTTTTACAACTGATAGTTGTTAAACAATTCTTAATTTACACACACCACAGTTAGGGGTGCTTTGATCGAGTGATTGTAGAGTACACAACCAACGACCCGACAGCCTCGATTTCGTTTCCAGGGTTCGTCCATAGAGCATAATTGTCGACTCAGCTGTAATATGTACCTGGCGCTAACTGGTGAAAGTAAAATCGTGTATCCATAATACACACAACTTTCAAAACGAAATAAACCAAACTAAGACCTAAAGTAATATATTCTTTATAAATATAATAAAATAACGACGTCATACAATAACATTTTGTTTTTTTAAGTTTAAAAAAAAATCTTGACAAATCTTTCAGGATATCCAATCCCCACTTCTGATGGTCGGTAATTTATTTGGTGCTATTGGCTATCTTTTGATTGGACCAACTCCACTTCTGCCTTTCTTACCCAGGTAGGATAATCTCCCTTTAATTCACATGCACAATTAGGATATGAACATGTATTTTAAAGCATAAAATTCACATGCACAATTAGGATATGAACATGTAAATTAAATCATTAAATTTAGATGTCATGCTTGTCTGTTTTTGATAAAATAAATCTTACTTAAATTAAACTGTTGCAATACTAAAATTATTAGCATAGGAAGACAATTCAACTTCTTTAAACACCAGACACATACATACACCTGTCTCACGTAGTTGTCGTTAACAGAAGGTTTTTGTTGATGTTGGATAGCGTGTACTCTATCACAACATTTGTATAGACAAGAGTTGCTACAACATATCACTGTCTGTTTTACATACAAGTTTAAGCAGAAGTTTTATTGCGTTTATTTCCAACTATACCATCCAACATTAAACTATAACATCCAACATTAAACTATAACATCCAACATTAAACTATAACATCCAACATTAAACTATAACATCCAACATTAAACTATAACATCCAACATTAAACTATACCATCCAACATTAATTGTTTCCAATGGACGGCTTGGCCTAGCGGTAGAGAACTAGACTGTTCCGAAAGTCCCGAGTTCGAATCCGGATTCAAGTCAGTAGAATACCCATCCATTCATGATCATTTGAATATAACATGTCTCAAACCTTGGAGAAATATTGCGTCGTTTATTTTGTCAGTCTACCATAGAGAGATTGTCTTTTTGGACAGTATCTATACGTCAGGACTCTTAATGCCATGCACTATTAATGGGTACCTAACTCACGTTAGGGAAAAGATGATTAATTTTTCCCACTATAAAATCCAACATTGATTGTTCCAACTATAACATCTATACATATAAAATCAATTTCAAAATTATTTTATTCCAATTATAACATCCAACATTAATTGTACCAACTACAACATCCAACATTGATTGTACCAACTACAACATCCAACATTGATTGTACCAACTACAACATCCAACATTGATTGTTCCAACAATAACAACTATACATATACTATAACATGCAACATTGATTGTACCAACTACAACATCCAACATTGCCTGTACCAAGTACAACACCCAACATTGATTGTTCCAAAAATAACACGTGACACTAACTGTCCCCCCCCCCATCCATTCCCCACCCTCAGAGAACTGTGGACGGTGACCCTGGGGCTAGTGTTGTTTGGGCTCTCGTTTGGTTGCTCCATTGTGCCAGTGATGAAATGTTTTGTTATAGGGGCCAGGTAGGTAAATTAGGATGGTAGGTGACTTTAGATGGTAGGTGACTTTAGATGGTAGGTGACTTTAGATGGTAGGTGACTTTAGATGGTAGGTGACTTTAGATGGTAGGTGACTTTAGATGGTAGGTGACTTTAGATGGTAGGTGACTTTAGATGGTAGGTGACTTTAGATGGTAGGTGACTTTAGATGGTAGGTGACTTTAGATGGTAGGTGACTTTAGATGGTAGGTGACTTTAGATGGTAGGTGACTTTAGATGGTAGGTGACTTTAGATGGTAGGTGACTTTAGATGGTAGGTGACTTTAGATGGTAGGTGACTTTAGATGGTAGGTGACTTTAGATGGTAGGTGACTTTAGATGGTAGGTGACTTTAGATGGTAGGTGACTTTAGATGGTAGGTGACTTTAGATGGTAGGTGACTTTAGATGGTAGGTGACTTTAGATGGTAGGTGACTTTAGATGGTAGGTGACTTTACTAGAGATGGTAGGTGACTTTAGTACTAGAGATGGTAGGTAGGTGACTTTAGTACTACAGATGGTAGGAAGTTGACTTTAGTACTACAAATGGTAGGTGACTTTAGATGGTAGGTGACTTAAGTACTGCAGAAGGTAGGTAGGTGACTTTAGTACTACAAATGGTAGGTGACTTTACTAGAGATGGTAGGTGACTTTAGTACTAGAGATGGTAGGTAGGTGACTTTAGTACTACAGATGGTAGGAAGTTGACTTTAGTACTGCAAATGGTAGGTGACTTTAGATGGTAGGTGACTTAAGTACTGCAGATGGTAGGTGACTTTAGATGGTAGGTGACTTAAGTACTGCAGATGGTAGGTGACTTTAGTACTACAGATGGTAGGTGACTTTAGTACGATAGAAAGTAGATTATTTATATGTAAACACAATTCATGATCATTACTTTAAAACATTCCTCAAACATTGGTTAAATATTGTGCAGTGTAACTGTCTTTTATCTGTTTACCATAGAGAGCTTGGATTATCGGACAGTATCGATACCTTCGGCCTAGTCTCTGGACTGTTTAACGCCATGTATTCCTTAGGGTAAGTCTTCTAGGACAGTATCGATACGCTTAAACTTGTTTTAGTACTCTACAATGCCCTGTACAGTGAATTTATTAATTGAACAAAAAAAATGTTTAAACAAATTTCTGTTTCGAATATTCCAGAGCCTTGTCGGGACCGGTGATAGGCGGAGTGTTGGTGGAGCAGGTTGGCTTTTATTACGGCTCTACGGTCATCTCTGGCTTGTATTTTATTGTTGTAAGTACACAATCATGAAGCGTTGTACTTAGTACAAGAGACTTGTACATAATACACATGACTTGTACATAATACACATGACTCTTGTACACAATACACATGACTTGTACATAGTACACATGACTTGTACATAATACACATGACGTTGTACTTAGTACAAGAGACTTGTACATAATACACATGACTTGTACATAATACACATGACGTTGTACTTAGTACACAGGGATATAATGATAATGAAGCTTGGACTAATTTAGTTAAATACTAATATATATATATATATATATATATATATATATATATATATATATATATATATATATATATATATATATATATATATATATATATGGATTCAAGGGCTGTAATCTATACAATTTAGAACTATTTTTTTCATATCAGATGACTGTCACGATAGTTTTCTTCTCCTTCAAAAACTTTGGGAAGAAACAGACTACAACACCATCGAACATCGCCAAAAATCATCAATCGACAGCCAAGGAAAAAGATTACGAGGCAAACAGCGAAACTTTTCTACATCACGTGGGTGACGAGAAGACGCCTTTACTCTCTAAGAAGGCAGAAAAAAGCAGTTTTGTTCTAGAATGTTCTATCAGCAAATCGAGCCTTTAGTCTTCTATAGTTATTGCATTTATGACTTTCATTAAAAGTTTATAACAAATATTTGTCTGCTCATAAATATGCCTTGTAGAACTGATACATACATCAACATAACCACATGATATTTATTTATTCATTTAACATCTAGAACATCTACACTTCAACCATTAAATTGTCCGTGTATCAACGTCCACATATTGTTGTGTTTGTTTATTTTTATTACAATATTGTTACAATCGTTTACTCACGTCAAACATGTGTGTTGCTGTGGGTGTAGGTCAAGGTTAAGTTCCCCTTCCAAACCTGAAGGTCTATGCAGCAAGTGAAGTAGAGTTCTCCTGTTTCTGTGACCTCGGGATAGCGTGGTCAGCACTTTGCTCGTGAGTGTAGGGTTGTGGTCAAATCCTGCAGCTCATGGTTTTTCCAAAGGGGACTGAGTTGGGTTGGGTTCAGTTTTCTAATACATTTATCTCCGATGACAACGCAAGAATATATATGTTTAAAGCAAGCTGCTTAAATACAAGAGGACGGTAAGGTTGGGGGCTAGAGCATACGACTGATAACTCGAAAGTCTTGAGTTCGAATCCCGGATTCAAGCTAGGACGTTTGGGATAAATAAAGCAGCTGGAAATTGTGCTTTCCACAAATGACTATATTTCACCTGCTACATGGGTCTTCAGGTTCAAACGTTTACTTACTTTATTGAAATATCAAATTAGAGAAAGGGCGGTAGACGTTCTTCAGAAAGCTCAGCATTCCCTCCCGAAGAGATGCCTGAAAGAAACTCTGGATACACGATCTCCAGGGGCGGCGGGTGCCACTGCTAGTTTTGTTTAAAACATCGATTGTAATATTTTCTTACGAATATTTGGTAAAGAAAAGATTTTTAAAAAAAATTGTATTTTTGTCCTGTCCTACATCTCAATTACGCCAAGATAACCTAAATATAGCCTAAAGATAACCAAAAGATAACCAAAAGATATAACCAAACGATAAAACCCAAAAGATAACCAAAATATATAACCAAAAGATAACCAAAAGATAACCAAAAGATATAACCAAACGATATAACAAAAAGATAACCAAAATATATAACCAAAAGATAACCAAAAGATAACCAAACGATATAACAAAAAGATAACCAAACGATAACAAAATGATAACCAAAAGATAACCAAAGATTACCTACATTTAACCTAAAGATAACCTAAAGTCTTGTTTACCAGACATGTAGCAGCACTTAGCCTATATTTTAGCCACTGCGGTCTTTACTAGATTGTACAGCGAATTATTAGACTGTTTACTATGCCATTATCATTCGTTTACTTAGTCAAACACTTGCATGATCGTTTAAAACGACCAAGTATCCGATTGTAAAATATTTCAAACAGGACTTTAAAGAAACTATTTAATCCCTTTATAGTTGTGTGTATTAGAATACGATAGAAATAAAATTTCTTATACTGCGATTTGGTTTCTACAATTTTAAATTCTGTTTACAAATTCCCAATTCAAAGCTGGTTCTAATGCAGCGAATGGATCCATTTTATGCTTTTATTGAATTATATTTCTCGAATTATTTGAATCATGTTCGATTTTTAAAATTGAAATATATTTTTATATTTGCATGGCTTAAGTAAAATATAACGTACAAGCCGTGAGTTATATAAAAGAAGTTTTGGTTTTTTGACTAGTGTGTAGATCACAAACGCACTGAAAGTCTAGTCGTGCTAAACGTCAGTGTTTAAACACTATTTCTGTGTGTTAAAAATGTGGATGTTTCAGTAAGATGTGTCATTAAAGCACCAGTTTGCTGTGTAGTTACGTAATACAACTGCATATTTAACTAGCATTGAATGTGTTCAAGTTTAGCAATAGACTGATAGAAATTCTTAAAGTTTAGCGGCAATAGTTTTAAAGATCGCTGTTTGCTGTTGGCAAGGAAACACTTCCTGTTATCTCCCATGGCTCGCCTTCTGACGTACGGTGTTGGATTTCTAATTGTGTTATATTTGTGTAGGTAAACTTATAAATCTGAAATAAATTATATTACATTTTGTTTTCTAATAATGTTATAAATTAACAGATATTAGGGGTCGGCGTGGTCGAGTCCGTTGCTAAATCGAAAAGTTGTAAGTTCGAACTCTCGGGCAGATGAGGCTCGTTAGCTGGGGACAGCCACTCTTCTAGGAGAGACAACTCCAAAATCCAACAAATGCTGCCTTGTAGTTTGTTCTTGGTTGGACAAAGGCTATGGAAGCAAATCCAAAAAGAAAAGCAGGCTGAAATCGAAGTCAATGGCATCAATGGCGCATAACTAGTTGACACGTATACTTAATTGTGTTGAAGGGGATCCCATTCAACACTAAAATTAAGAACGAAGAAGAAGAACAGAAATTCTACCATACGTTGTTTGTGACGTGTAGGGTATTTTTAGACGTAAACCAAAAGCCGAACTCAACAATGAACATAACCCCACCGTTAGCCTTAACTCATTCATGGGAACCAGTACTAACTCTTACACCAACCGTGTCTCTATCGTTAGTCATAACCTCCTTAGCCGGTGTTATCCAAAAAAAAATCACAGCTTCTAAAGTGGATTTGAATAGTCCTATAGTTATGTTATTTGATTACATATATTATTATTCTGGCGAAACGTGTGTTTTTATATGAATCAATATTATTTTATACTTAAAGCTATTTATTTCAAATAACAAATCAACTGTATTTACCTAATCATAATCAAATACCAAATGTTTAAATAAAAATGTTAGTGGCTTTTTAAAAACTGGAAAATTTTGTAAATTGTAGCTTTTGGCTCCTCCGTCTCAGGGGGTTGCCTGCCCCTTCTCTATACCCTCGCAGCGACCCATTTGCTCCCAACTGGATTCTTACTGCATTGCTAGAGTATATTAACCATTCTTAAATTTAAATTTGTCCCTTTTTGTATGGGAGCCAGAAATACAACAACATGATGAGACTTCACATTTGTTAAGCAAATTTTAACAATACTTAATTTACAGTTCTTAAATTAAATCTATGGTGTCTTATTTCTAAGTGAAAATAAGATACAAATTGTACGTTTAAAAAAAAATCTAAAACTAGTACACACTGTATGAATACTAGAGAATTGGAGTTAAAAAATTAGTAAGACTCTATTAACTTTTGTGTATTTTGTATTTTTATTCACGAATTGTATTTGTTTTAGCTATTTTGTTAAGTTATTGCCCTTGAATGTCAAAAAATATTTCTTAATAACAACACGAGGGTGATAATGCATTCGATCCTTATTAAAGTGTTATTTGTGACGTTTAGAGTTTCATGTGAGATGGCTTTGTTATGATTGTCATGACCACACAGTTTAACAAACCATTGGGTCAACTTCAGCATGAGTGGACAAAAAGCTGCTAGTTAGCGCCCCGCCCTCCTTGGAGAAATATGTCCGAAAAAAATTCAGCACAAAATACTTTACAATCTGTGTTAAACAAATAGAGCGTTTTTCTCCCCATTTTTAAATGCTAGGGCTGATACATGATACCAATAAAAAAAACAATACCAGATAATTGATAACAGGGTTATCACCCTTGACACGTTGGTTATTTTCTAATTATACACATTGTTTGTTTTGATTACATAGTTCTTATATAGAGCTCGCATGTTTTATACTTAAAATTTGCATGTCGGCTGTACACGTCGGAAAGGGGAAACAGGAATCGCTTACAATAATTTATTTTTATTCCCTAGAGGTGTCCTTTCGTTATAAAACCAAGTCACTCAGTTCGTGAAAAGAAAACATATATCCATTGCGACTTTTAAAATGTAGGTCAAGCTCACCAAAATTTATGGCTTAGCATGAGTTTTAACAATGATATTACTCGAAGTATTTGTGTTATACAACATTTTTTAATTGACTCGTTCACAGACCACACGAGTGTCAGATCAAACGTGACATCAACTTTTTTCGCCATCATCAAAAGCAAGCAGAAAGTGGGACCGAAACGTTTAGCCAAAAGTTGGACTGGCGTAACCCCCACGGTGTGTGGGCTACACTGCCTCCAGTACTACCCCACCTGCGCCAGCTTCATGTTCAACTCACAGACCAAACTCTGTACCCCCGGGGGTCTGGTCACGAAATCTGAGCTCGTCCCCTCCCCAACCGAAGGGGATTTGTACTACAAGGTAACCTGTGATTACAGTACCGGGTTTGAGTATAAATTTGACGGTGTAGCGAATATTTGTATTGGGTTGTATAAGACTCAGTTGAATTACACTGAGGCGGAGCTGGATTGCTTAGCTAAAGGAGGTTTCCTGACTACGGTAAAGACAGCGACTAAACTGGCGTTGTTAAAGACGATGATAGGAGGTAACGACGCCTGGGTCGGGTGTGATGATATGGACGAGGAGGGGACGTACGTGTGGCAGGTGGACGGGGAGGTGCTGACCAACGAGACCAAGGCCCAGGTGTTTAAAGCAGGTGAGCCGAGTAGCGCGAATGTCAAGGACGACTGTGTTATGTACGACAAGGCCACGAACTTGCTCAAGTCGGTAGACTGCGCTGTGAAAAATTATTACATGTGTGAGCTGCAGGTACCGCTGACTTAAAGAAATCGTGAGCGTGATGGTACCAAGTTCTGTGGACAGCAGATAGTTGACCCAAACTTCAGTTGAAATAAAAGGAAATTGTTTTCAGAAATAAAAATGTGTTTAATTTTGTATGCTATAGACAAGAGAGACGAATGTATACAATACAGAGACGAATATTTAAAATAAAGTGAGTAACAAATAAAATGGGGAGAAGAACTAACTAACTAGACAGACCATCATAAAAAATTGTGAGATAAACATTAAATAGGCAGATGAACGTATACAATAGAAAGAACATGCAGAATAGAAAGACAAACATAAAATAGAGACGAACAAGAAACAAATTAAGAAATTATAAAACAATATAAACTAAACAAAAAACAACAACAACCGCCAGTTAAAAAGAGTATACATATTTTTTCAACTTATAAAAGATCAATAATGCAAATAATGAACAATATACGGTCAACTATAAACTGTAGATTATACAAAAGAACAATATATATACAAAGGTGATTTCCTATGATATACAAAACTAATACAATATAGCAGCTAACAAATATTGTGTATTAAAGGAACAATTGACGTTGTTCCAATCA